CTTGCCCTGATACTTATGGAGTATAGGTATCTGTAACTCCCTGTCAGTGTGATGTCACAACTGTATGATTTGACAGTCTATAGCAGAGAAACTGTGATTCAGATCACTGTTGCAACTAGGCTGATTATAAGAATCATAGGAAAATCGACAAGACTGCTTAAACAACACAGCAACTAAACCAATATTGTGCACTTTGATTGGTAAGAGCTGTGCAAATTCTGAGGTGAGGATTCCCATCAAGTGTCACTGTTCCATTTTTTAAGCTGAAGATGCAAGGAACTGAGTCTGGAACTTTCCAGGTGCTCCGATGGACCAGTGGACCTTTCCAATATCAAACAGAAATCGAATGCATGGTGCAAACATTATATTACCCACATATTGCTTCAAAGTCATTTGTCATACCCCTACAATGATGTCATATGTTAAAGGCTAAGGGGCAAAGTTCATCTTTAGGCGATAGTAATATGGAATCCTGCCTACATCAGAGTGAAGGATGGCATTAGGGGTTTTTGACAGGATGAAAAGCCTCTTCCCTGCTTTTGCAACTAAGAAGAGCTGTTCCATCATGTTCAACGGCAAGAAATTCCCCACTCCAAAATCAAGCCAGCGGGTTATTAGAAGCATAAATCAGTTTTCAGCCATGGATAAATCCACCTAGTCTTTCAGACAGCACAAAGCCTTTCCTACATTAAAGCATTATAATCATTGTGGCAGCTTAATAGGATTGATGAGCTCAACCGGCAGCAGTGACCATCTTAGACTTAAACAGCTTGATGAATTACTCTTTGCGGCTACAAAGTGCATCTGTCTGTGGAAAGCATTAAACATTTGTTGACCAGATCTCTTAAACCTTGGAACCGTGGGAGCTGAATGATAGAAATGTAACATGTTTTGAAAAGGAAGCCATAATCTATTATTACTTTTCCTTTCTAAGTCTCAGTTTTACCTTTCATCCCTTCAATACCCCTCTGAAAACAAGACAGAGACTCAGAAGTTGGATGGTGAATTGACAGTACATTGCATGGCTACCTTGTTGCAAAGTGAATTATTTCCATATGTGTTTAAAACAAAAACTTAATGCTTCTCCTGTCTAAAGACTTTTTTTTCCCCCTAAAAAGAACAGGATTTCCAAATTTGCCACCTGCACTGTGCTATGTAGCAGATAAAAATAGCAAAGGAACCACTAATGAAAGCCAGATACTGAGGAACACTAGGACCTATATTTTTATTCCATCTATATAAGACCACAGGAATTATTTCCACTACCTGGCCAAGAACTAATATCAATGAAATGTGATGTCTCTTCAATCACAGCAGGCCAGGTCAGGGCTAAGCTAAGTCTGCTTCTTGCCTACTTTCCAAAAACTTAAGATTTGTCCAGGTAACCTTGCTTGAATTAAAATTAAGGCTGATCTGCACTGCTGCCATGCCATAGGAAAATATTTGTCTATGGATAAACATGCAGCGTCCACTCATTTGGCTTCAAAAACTTGCTCCAAGAAGACTTCCTGGAGACAGGCTAATAACTAAGGCATGTTTATAAGAAGGGTGAAGTGCTTATGGAAATCAGAAGATCAGCCCAGATTTAACTCAGCATATAGTGCAGGAACAGCCATCTGCCATCTGAAATGTCCTATTTATCTTGCCAAAAGAAATGAAAAAGATTACTACTTATGTTAATGTTACTTCATTTAAATGCAGAATACAAATGGCTTCTGTCTAGAATTCACTATAATCTTTTTTTTTTAAATCTTGGTGGCTTAAAACCGACTAGTGATCAATCTTATTTATTGGCTGAATCAGTATATTGATCACTTGCTGCTAAATAAACATGTAGGTCAATTACTGTCTGCAGCCATTAAGGATATCTGCTTAGTGAATGCACTTATATCGGCTGACATCTTGTTATATATCTTTTGATCTGTCAGTCAGTCAGTCAATCAATGAATATTTATTTACAATCACTGACCAAGCCTAAACTATAAGAAAATGCAGCCGCACTCTATGACATTAACTAGAATAATACGATAAGAAATGCATGCATATGATATTAATTGTAGTACAAAACTTTAAAATGTTTATTTTATGCATGTATTTTGAGTATGTATAAATAAACAGGTTTTAAAAACCCATAGCACCTCACTAGGGTTGCAGAATCTGTCTACAAATTCTGTTCCAGAGAAAACTTATATTTAGCAACAGTTTTTTATATAAATTTATGAGACTTGGAAAAATAAATAAAACCCAGGGCTTCTTTTTTAACATTAATATTTTCTCTTTAAAAACAAAACAAAACTTGGAAGTATATAAGAATCTAGATCCCATCCTTACAAGGCCAGAGAGTATCATTATGTGCATTACGCTAGCAACACTCAACACATGAATGTCTGCCCTATAAAAATATTTGGCTACTGTCTAATCATACACATAATTAGCATGACCCTTATTGTATTAAAAGCCTGACATAAATGAACCATATAGTAGATGTTTGAGCAGCAGATAAAATATCAAAATTCTTAATCTGTTAATGAAGAATATTTTCCCCCTACCTGTCCCTTAGTTGAAAATAAATTATGTGAAAACCAAATAATTGTTACCAATAAAGGCTTTCAACAATGAATTAATGCAACGCTGTTCCTGAAATAAATACTAGAACCATAATCCATTTTTGTCTAATACCTAAATGATAGGGACCAAGCTTTCCAACCAGCAGGTTTGTGTACAGTTGAAGAATGGATTGAGATGTACACATGGACACCCCAGAAAGAGAACTCATATAATATAAAGAGAAATCGCAAGATCCATGATGAACGCTGGACAATAATTGGAACAATAGCTGAGAAAATTACAAAGCTTTATACTCCAAAATAATGGGGTCAGAAGGTAGTCCAAAACTCAAATAATATAGTATAAACACTGGGTGAAGCATGCTAACAATTACAGAATCTGCAGCATAATCTGATTAAAGTCCAAGACTTGGGTACCAGAGTTCTAAGCAAAAGAGCTGGACCATTTAGGATATTGAATGCAAGTAACATTGTTGCAGGTCCACTGAAAACATTTATGCTCCAGCCCATCAGGTCCACCTTAAGACAGACTTTAGCAGTTCAGGGACCAGAAAGTGATTTGTGAACAAGGTCTGCCTTATTGGTAGGCTAGTTATTCTCAAGGAGCTCTTCCTATGACTTTCCAGAACTTCTATGATGCCATCTCCTGGCAACAGTGCCCCAAATGTTCCTTGAAGTTCAATCTTCAAGAGGATGGAGTACTTTAAGGCCCTTTTAAGAATTTTGACATCCAAGAACTATTTAAATAAGGTGTCCTTTCCTGGATAGGAAAAAAATGGCATTTATGTTGCTTTTTCCTGACTGAACAATAGAAGTTGAATATGGTACCCAATAAAGGGAAGAATTGAAAACAATAGGAAAAGGACTAGACTGCCTGTCTTTCACTTTGACTCCTATGGCCCGCTTATTCAATCTGTAAAGTTGCCTTATCTAGTCTACAAAAATCTGGACAACCACTAAATGGCTCCAAAGTGGTACAACTCAGAAATGATATGCTTATCAAACAGAAAAATCATAATCTTGGTTTTACTGAAACAAATAGATTTTCTGTACAGTGGCCCATAAGAAAGCATGGTTATTGCTTCAGAATAACTTTAACCAACCCTGACTTAGTGAAAGAAGGAAAATGCTGTCTCTATACAATACAGAAAGCATTCTAGAATCAGCCAGTGTGAGTGGGTAATAGGAAATGAACAAATTATATGCAAATAACTGACATATTAAATATGATGAAACCCTGACAAATCCCTTTAGGTAATACAGATAGCATTAACCAGTTTTACTGTGATGTTTTTATAGAAACAGGAAATTAAATCACCCTTTCTCAATAATAAAAAAGTAGATTCATAATCTCTTGAGAATGAACTGAAAACATACTTCAAATCTGTAACTAATATTTGGACATTTGCTAGAAGTTCTCATTTATTTTCTGAGTTAATATCAGGCAGGAATTGTGTGCTGATCTGGCTCTCCTAAAATCAGCCTGTACTCGTCTACCAAAAATCTTTGCTTCTTTGTTTAAAGATCAAGGTAGTTGACATATAAGATACCAATTACTGACAACAAACCAATAAGCATGTCGTTGAAATAATAATTTCTATAAACGTTTCTGTATATTGGAATAATCACTGTTTGAGGAAGGCAGTTAACCAGTTTTATTAATTTGTGTAAACAAGGGTGATGCCTATAGAACAACATCAAATTTCTAGAGTTCTGGTTCTAAGAATCAGGTCCAGCAGGTTGTCCATACTTCACCTGTGAAATCAATGCATTACCCTGAATTATAATGATACAGAAAGGAGGTCAGATATATCAAGCAAAGATAGCATACTATATTAAACAAAGGTAGAATATAAATTATTAGCTGGCTAGAATCTTTGACAATTCAGAACAATTTTTTCAGTATAATAGAGGATCTGTTTTGTTTGATAGTTTATTGAAACTGTTGACCTAAATAATGCTGTATCCTTATTTACAGTTGAACCAACTGAAATTCTTCATTATTCCTAAATGAAGGTCCATTAAACCTAAAACAAACAATCTGAATTGTTTGAACAATCTTATGATGTATGTTTTAGGTTTACAAACACAGATGAAACTTCCAATGTTCCCAAGAAGGGGGAATGACCTACGGACTACATAAGACGGCATTAAATTTTATGCAGAAGTTCTTTCCTGTATCATAGAATAATTGCATGTAACTATTGGAAGATTACTTGGAGATGATTTAGTCCAACCCTCTGAAAGTCCACCTCCCATGCATCATCCCTGTAAGATAGACATCTAGCCTCTGTTTTAACACCTACTGCACATCTCCTGAGCCCAGTCTGTTCCATCACTGAACAGATCTTACAGCTAGGAATTTTTTCCTGATATCTAACCAAAATCTATTTCTGTATAATTTAAACCCATTGTTTAATGTCCTCTCTTCAGGAACAGCTCTGAACAATTCCACCTTGTCTTCTACAAGAAAGCCTTCACATACCTGAAGACAGCTATCAGATCTTCCCAGAGTCTTCTCTTCTTTGGGCTAAAGATATGCAATACCGCAAATAATTTCTTGTAAGTTTTTCCTTCCTGGATATCATCTTGATTGTTTTGCTCCAGACATGCTGGTTTGACCGTGTCCTTCATAAAATGCAGTGCCCAGAATTGGGTGCAATATTCTAGGTTAAGTTTGTCCAGCACAGAATAGAGAGGATCTATCAGTAGAGATCTTGATTTTGCAACAGAATACACTTCTACTGATGCAGCCTTTCTCTCCACTCTTGTCTTGAAGCCTGGCAGTCTCACTGAGGAACTCTATTCCCCCATCCAGGCACCTTTGAGATGCTCTGGGCAGTCATTCCTACCCTCCCGCCCCAGAAGACTCATTTCAATTTGCATAATGATACAAATGTTGTAAATGACATTGCATAAATGATGTAAATCACTGCAATGACATGCCCTCCAATTTCCCAGACTTTCATGAGAAGTGAACAACCTCTCCCCAATTAAGGTGTTAATATAAATTTTTACTGATTTAGAAAACAACACAAATTGTTGGACAAAAGCTTGCCAAAAGTGGTAAAATAATTTTAACTAATTACAGCCAAGAAAAACCTGTCTTCATTAGATTTTTCTTGAGAAACAAGCATTGCTATGACACAGTGTGGATGCTAATATTAATCCTGCTACTACTACAAATAATAATGATAATAATAGAAAACAAATTATAGTAAAATGATGAAAGTATACCAAAGTGTTTTTGGAAATGGAACATTGCAGGACATTAAGCCCAGGAGGAGGATAAGTAGAGGCTACCTGGTGATTACTGTCGAGTTATTACTAGAGGAGGCAGCTATTGCCTCAAAAGCAGTAAGAGTCAAAGTTGTGAGATGTGAGTGGGATGTGGGGTGTGGTAGGGTAGGGTAGGGCTTCCAAGGGCCCAAGCCAGATGAAAAATCACGGCTATCAATCTCCTTTCCCACACGTGCAAGCTTTGTCAATCTGTACTTTGTTGATTTTGGTTTAATCTGTACTCCCTAGGACAGCAAGAGGGGTGGCCTCATTTTTATAAATCCAATATTGCATATAATTCACAAAAGACTATTTTATTAACCCATGAGCAAACATTCCACAACAGACACTTATAGCTGACAGTAAGGTTGAGCCACGAATGAGTCAGAGGCATGCTGGTTTTATAGGCTTAATACAGAAATAATTAAGAGGCTGGTTTCTGGTATTCATCCTGACCAAATGGACTGACTGCATGGAGGAACCTTGTTGTGTGTTAACAAAGCTTAAGCGGATCTCTCACTCCAAACTCCTGCTTGCAGCTTGCTTTGACTTTACCTTAACCACAATTATCATCACCTCCATCTTCTGAGATGTTCAGAGTACCACTTCTTCTGTCTCTGTCCTCAGTTCTACTCACTGATCCCAAAAGCTCTTGCCACTACCACTAACTCATATGATGAGTTGACATTTTCAGTCAGTTATTCTGGTAGGATGCTAGTAGAAGACTTGCATAAATGAAGCAGCAAATAGCGCACAATGTTCCAAAAACAGGGCTCCCAATTGAGACTTTATAAGGTAGAATTGCAAAGGAAAAATCATAAGACACACCAGTTTTTTCTTTTTTAAAAAAAGGTTTACTGTTTCCTTTTAAGATTTTAGAAATGTTCTTCCTCTTATTCTCTCCCTTGAGAGGGCAGGCCTATATTGTTACATTTAGCCGGGTCCATTTAGAGTGGCCTTGAGACAAGTTTCAAGGTTGCAAGATTAAGGTTAGAAACACAGCCAAATTATTGGCAAAAGAAGAGAGAAAACTCTCTAGGAACTCCCTAAAAGTAAAACAGTATTTGCCAAGAAGTTAACAAAATGGGTTTGGACTAAAATAAAATTGGGATGTAATAATTAAATGATAAAAAAATATAAAAGGAAGCCTTCAAGGGTGCACAACCTACTACACAGCCATCTTGGATACAATCAACCAAACACATCTTTGCTCAGGATCACACTGCTCCAAGCCATGATGAAGTATATTCATTGCTTCCCATCTACTGCAAAACTTACTCCTCACAGATCCAGTTGTGTTCTCTACAGAACACTCACCAACATTTCCAAGATAAAGGGATATGCCATACTTCATGAGAGTGTTCCTTTTGCATGTCCAGGTTTAATTCCTGGCTCCTCCTGGGACTCCTGAACCAACAGTGGGTATAACTTTCCCTACAGATTTCTTTTTTCTTTTTAAAGTAATTTGCAGGCTGCAGTATCTGATGATCAGGATAGCTCTGTAATTTATCTTTTCCCACACTGAATGTTTACATTTTAATATTTAAAGAAAAAATGTTTATTATCTCATCTCATCTCATTTTTTAAACAAAGTTTGATTATGTTTATGTCATGAAAAATCTTGCACATCTTCCATAAGGAGTAGAGGAGGGAGGCTTAAATCTTCTAGCCACTCACCTCTGTGCTATATGGCAAGGTAGTTGGATTTTTAAAAATATTTCACTTCTTGCGTTTGTATCTCTAAATTGCCAGTGAGGTAGTACAGGGCATGAGAGGTGAAGGGACCCTTGGAAGACAGGTGGTAACAGCAGGAACTACCAAGCTGCTATCCTAAAGCAGAGGTAGTTTTCTAGATTATTTTCTCCTTTTCTAGATTATTTTCAGCAGAAAAATATAGAGGTTGATGGTATCGAAAGCCACTGAGAGATCAAGGAGTGCAAGGATGGTCGCACTTCCCCCATCCTGCTCCCACCAGAGATCACCCATAAGTGCGACCAATGC